TATATATAAAATTTCATGTAAATTCAGTATATATTTCCCTTTTTAATAAGAAACTATTTTCTACATAAATGATTTAAGATTTTATTATATTGTGACTATTTTCATGAAAATGAAACACATTTATACACATTTATATATATGGATATAACATATATACATAAAAATAATAATACATATTATACCATATATATATATATATATAATTTATTGTGTGTGTGTATATATATCTATATATATACATACAATAATGGGTATAATATTTATTATTTCTTATTTTCTTTGCATGATTTAGGAAGTTTTACATTGTGACTATTTTCATGACAATTTCTGTGATGCAAAAAAACACATTCTCTTAATACAATAATGACAATCATGTTATTTGCATGCAGTATTTTTTAAAGTTTATTTATTAAAATCAGAGTAAAAGAAGAAGTACAACATAGTGATGTGTTCTTACTGTAAATGTACTTTTTTGTTTTTTATTCGGTTGTGGTAAAATGTATTTAAATGTCATTAAAATAATGTCACAATATAATACAATCTTTGTTTGCTTTATGTAGAAAAAGATCTTCTGGTTTTGAGGTGAAGCGTGATCTGCAGTGACAGTATTTGATCTGTATGTTAGAGGTCTATCTGTCCGTTCTGAAGCCTCAGTTTCTGTTTTCCTGATTAACGCTGGTTCTTCTGAAGTTGCTCTGAAGTTTCAAGAGCGTCTCTGACAGTTTTAGGGGCTGCTGGGTCAATCTGACCCCTCGTGTTGCTGGTAAATCACTGATCGGCGTCTGTCTGAAGGCTCTGGATGAGAAACAGACGCTGCTGATGCCGCAGGAATCAAAGCGCTTCAGAAAGACTGTAGACTCTTCCTTGTAAAACCGGCTGTAAAATGCCTCTCAGAGCAACACGAGGCTCTGATTAAACTTCCTGTTTGTGAAGAGAAGCCACTTCCTGGTGCAATATTTCTAGCTTCTGCTGGTTCTGCTGGACACTCGCTGTCGAAATGTGATGAACTGGTTTAAAGTTAATTGTTTATTATGTTGATTGATTTATTTCGAGTGCCTTTTGTGATTTATATTTTGAGGTTGAAGTCATTTCGAGCTTAATGGAGATGAAACTGTGAGTCTGGAATTTCACAGAAGATCTTCAGGTGGAACCGAAATGGGCTTTTTTGTACATAAATTGTGTTAAGACCTGTGAAGCAGGTCTTAACAGCAGCAGATACGGTCTGTTCATATGATTTAACCCTCATGTTCTTTTCATTTTTATTTCGCTCTAAAGGTTTTATTTGCATTCAGAGACGCCAGAAATGCAGCATGCTTCAGTCTTAAGATGTTTTAATTGAAACGAGACACTGGACAAACACACACATATGCGCTGTAACATCGTGTATTAATATACTGTGTGTCAAAGACATCTGCAGCATACAATAAAGTGTCAAATATTTTCACATATTACTGATTTGATTGCATCAGAGTGAATGAGACTTCCTAAAGGAATAGTTCAGCCAAAAATGAAAATCTGCACCTCTGCACCTCAAATCTTGGTCTATGCCAGATCAGGATGAGTTTGTTTCTTCATCAGGTTTGGAGAAATG